TCGCCGGTGGCCCTAAACGAGCCGTGGCGACTCGCCTGCGGGGGATTTATGAGCCCCAACCTGGATTTGTTCAGCCTTCCAAACAGCTGCTCCAAAACGGCCCTGCTGAAGCAGCTGCCTTGTTTTTGAGCGAGGTACGAGAGGACAGCACCTGGCCCAACACCTCTCCCTGTAGGAAGCTCCGGGAAGGAGGCGAAAGCCCCCGTTTTGCTGAAGGTCACAGCTCAGCCCTTGTCCCCGTGCAGGAAAACGGGCAGGCGGAGGAGAGGCAGGCGAGGGCTGCATTCTGGCCTTGGGGTCAGGCTTATATTCTGCAAACCATTCTGAGAGCTTGTCTGATTGCATGGTGTAGAAATGGCTTAAATAAATGAATACATTCCCACCCTTTAATAAATATGGGAATTTAATTATTAAAGGGCGCCCCAGGGCCCTCCGTTGCCCGCCTGACATATGGACGGGCATTTCGGCTCGAGTGCAGCTTCTTCCTCGCGTCGAAGAAGAAAACTGGGTTGCCAAGCACCAAGTGTGTCTTTTGCTTCTAAACTGGAAGCCCATGAAAGGAAGGCCTGAATCTGTGAACAGACAGCCGAATTAAGGGCAGGGGAAAAGGGAGAAGAGAGGGCCAAGCAGAGTGCTGGAGCCTTGCTCTTCTCTAGCACAGGAAACCTCTTTCCACAAGGCAGGGAGCTGCAAGGAAACGTCTGCGAAGGAAACCAACATTTGCAAAGCTTGCCCTGAACTTGATGTGGAAGCAAATCTCAGGAATAGGAATTAATTACCCTTTTCCATGCTGGCTCCAGCTGAGGTACTTCTGAGTCAAAACCGTCTTTGGCTGCAGCACCCGGCAGCCCCTGCCAATCGCGCCTGAGACATCTTTAGCGGCAGGCGGACGGTGCGCTTCGCCTGCCAGCCTGGCAACGGCCAGGCCTTGGCAGGGGCAGCCCGGTTGGCCGCCCGGGCGTGTGACAGGAGATTCTCTCCCAGCCCGCACGGGCAGGCGTTTGCCATGCTGGCCCTTCTGAGAGGAGCCACAGGAAGCACTGAGAGACGCCCGGGTGCTGAGCGGGCCAGATCGAAGCCCCTGCGCTCTCCCCCGAGACTGGTGAGCAAGGAGCCGAGCCGAACGGGTTCCGCGTCCTCTCACTGACTGAGCCTGCAAGGCCAGGAGCGCTCCGGGGGTGCTGGGGCTTGCAAGCGCCTTGCTTCTCCCCAGCAAACACAGGCGCCGGCGGAGCTGTGGTCCAGTGCCGGTGCCGCGGCACGGGAGGCCGTTCCAGTGGCCCCTCTGGGCCCCACTGCCCCCCCGCCCCCGTTCGGCCTCCGGCTCAGATGCCTGCCTCTGCTCTCAGGAACACACATCTGCTCTGTGCTCGGCCTTTCCCTGCGATGCTCTCCTGCCCCCCCCCCCCCCGGCTCGCTCTGCCCTCCCGGGGGGCCGGACACAAACCAGGCGGCCACCAAACGTGGCCTTTGCTGTGCCCGGCCAGCCCTGGGCTTCTTCGGAAGGCAGGAGCTCCCCAGGGATGTGGACAGGATGGGGTTTCCTCAGCCCTGGCGTGGTGACCTCTGGCATGCGAAGGTCACCCCGCCACGGCCACCCTCTGCCCCACGTGCTGCCTCCTCGACCCACCTGCCTGCCTCTGAGGGGTCTTTCCCCACCACAGGCAGAACTGGGACTGGGGGGTTTCCCTGGCACTTGCCAGGTTGTGGCAATCTGTCCCCCCCCCTCCAGGGTGCCCTGGTGTGACAGGAGAGGGCAGCTTCTCCAGGGCACAGACACCCCAGGGATGGATGCCTGGCCCGATCGCAGGCCGCTTCAGGCTCCGTGGTGCCGGCGCTCTGGCCTGCCCCGGTCCCCAGGGTGGCTCTCTGGCAGAAAGCAGTGGCAGTGGGGTCAAGACAGCGGCCTGAGCATGGGCATCCCAGGTGAGTGGCTACCGGGAACCGCCTCGCTCGCTTTCCGGGGCCTGGCCGTCACACAGGGCCAGCCCCGTGGAGAGCAGTGGGGCACACGGCTGGCCACCGCTGCGCGGCTTGGCTACCAGAAGCCCTCTGAGCAGCCGGAAAGCAGCGCTGTACGTTCAGTGAGTACCGGGCAAAGCGGGTCACCATTGCAGGCCATTGAGAGGAGCCCCAAGGAAAGGGGAGGGGAGGGGAGGGGAGGGGAGGGGAGGAGCATCCAGAAGGCGCCCTGTTCTGCTCCCCCCCCCGACTCCCCCTGAGCTACCCTGTGCCGGGGGAGCCTGCTGGAGCCGCCCTGTGGCCAGGCTGAAGGGCTTCGTCAGCAGGACGCCCCCTTGCCTTGGTCTGGAAAAGGGCACTCCAGGGCAGGCGAGATCAGGCACCCTCTGGGGCTCCCTCCCCAACTGGGATGAGACCCCGTGCTGCCCCCCATGCCTCACCGTTGCAGCCAGCCAGCCTGTCCCCGGCCCCTTGCTCTGGCCCGGAACCGTGCAGGGAGGGGAGGGAGGCGGTGGCCTCCTCGCTCTCGGCCGCCCGTCTGCTGTGCACGCGAGGAAGAGAACAGGGGCAGCCGGTGGCCGTGGAGTGGGAGGGGCCCTGGTGGGGATCGTGCCCCACATCCTGCAAGACCCGGAGGGGGCACCTCTGTGCTGCCTGCCTTCCGGCCCCACTGCCCCAGGGGGCAGAGACAAGAATGACCAGTCCTTTCCCAGCAGCCTGGTGGGTCTCCAGGAAGGAGGGAGGGGGGAGAGAGCAGGGCTAAAGCTGGGTGGCAGGGGAAGGGGGGGTGCCCCGCCCCCTTTTGGCCGTGGTCCTAAGTCATCCCTACCTGGGACACCGTGTGGGAAATCTGACTCGCCCTGGATCAAGAACGATTCCACACCCCTTCCGTGGGAGCTCACACAGTTGCTTTCTTGGGCAAGCCCCAGTTCCTCTTGCCCCACGGCTGCAAAAGGGAGGAATGAACCAGGCTGGGACCAGAGGAAGGGAAGAAAATGCTCTTTGCCAGGGGCGGCCCAACAGCCAGGCTGGCCCAGAGGCAGGGCTGCTCGGGACTGTCGGGCGGCACATTCCCCTGGGGCCCATGGATGGCCTGGCCTCAGGCACGGCCTGCCCAGGCTCCACAGCAATCCCGCAGGGCGGCTGTAGGGGCCAAGCCCAAGGAAGGACATTTCCCGTGGGCCGCACTGCAGGGGTGTGGAGTGCATGGCTGTGTTTCCTTCAGGCTCTCCTTGGCCTGCAGCCCAGTTCAGACCCGGTTAGCTCCTTACAGCTGCCCATGGTAAACTTACAGAGAAACTGAGAGTCAGAAGGGGCCTCCTGGGCCATCTAGCCTGACCCCCGGCTCTAGCTGGCTCGACTCATGTGACGCCCACCATGTGCATGTCCAGCTTATCCTTGAACTTTAGGCAGGCAACCTGTCAGCCTGGGGGATGGACCCCGCAAGCCAGGCTCAGAGGGCACAGGGCCCCCTTAGGTTCCACAATCATTGTGTAATCCTATCCAAATGGGTGTACCTGGAAACTGGGTGCAGGACCTCAGGACCAGGGCCAGATCCTGTCTCCCGGGCTTCCCAGGTGGCCCTCCCCCCTTCCCCCAACTCCGGTTTATGGAGGTTTCGTCCAGTTTGAAGGGGCTGAAATCCGTCCCTGAAGCTCCGGGAGCGGGAGCGCCGCCGAGCCTCGAGCGAGAACAGGCTGGCATCTCGGCTGGTTTGCCCCAGGCCTTTCGCCTGCGCTCGCCCCAGCCCTGAGCGCGGTGCCAGAATCCAGGTCGTCTGCAAGGGGTTCTGCACCCGCCAAGTGGTGGACAAGCATGCTCGCACTGGCTGGGGATGATGGTGGCTGCAGTCCAGCTGAGTCTGAGGCCTGGGGGAGGCTGTTGGTCTGCAGCTTCCGCTTTTTGAATCCTGCGCAGTCCATCTGTGTTCCGCAAACCAGAATGCCAGATCCTGCTAAAACTCCCATATCCTGGCTTCCCTCTTCCACCAACTGTCTGTCTGTTGTTGTTGCTGTGATTACATTTATATCCCACCTTTTCCCCTGCCACAGAATCCAAGGTGCTGTACGCAATCCTGGTCCATTTTTCTCCTCACAACATCCCTGTGAGGAGAGCTAAGCTGAGGGACAGTGACTGGCCCAAGACCCCAGTGAGCAGGGCTCTCCCACGCTAGTCCGGCACTCTAACCACTAGGCCACACTGGCTCTCTGCAATTACAATGGCCATGCTGCCAGGGGATAATGGGAGTTTCAGTCAAGGCTCCAACAGTGTTTATTATGGTTTATTATTGGTATCCTCAGTCGTGTGTTATTTTGTTGTTGATTGGTGTATTTATTAGGTATTTTATATATCAAGCCATCCAGAGATAAACCGTAATGGACAGGATAAAAATATCCTAATAAATAAAAATAAAATAAATATTATTATGTTTAGATTCTCTCTTTTCCCTTGCAGGTGACTAGAGGGTAGAATAGAATAGAATAGAATAGGAGAAACGGGATTTTGTATAGATTTAAATATGTTTCTAAGTTATCATAAATGGAAAATAGTGCGGGGGCTGACCCAGCAGGTCCGATGTTTCTGATGACTGATGTTTTTAGTTCTTTTTTTTTTTTTTGGTTTGTTTTAGGGTTATTTTGAATAAAACTTATTATATATATAAAAAAGAATAGAATAGAATAGCAGAGCCGGAAGGGGTCCCGAAGGCCATCAGGTCCAGCCCCCGCGGTTGCAGGGCGCCACGTCCCCCCACCCCACGCAGGGGGCTGCCCAGACCCGTGCTGAGCGTCCCCGCTGTGGGGGCGCCCCCACCGTCCACACAGCAGCCCCGAGAGGCCGGCGACCCGGCCCGCAGTCACCGGTGCGCCCGCGCCCCCCGAGCCCCAGGCCCGGTCCGCGGGCGCCGCGCTCACCCTCCTCTGCCGCTTCTCTCGCTCCAGGTGGCCGCGAGCGCTGAGATGCCCGGCTCCGCTCCCGCCGCCGGCCCGTGACGCCGCCCGCCCGCCGCCCGCCGCCGAGCCCCGCCGCCCGCCGCGGCCATGGTGCACACGGAGGGCAGCGCCCTGCTGCAGGCCGTGTGGCAGGGCAAGTTCCGCCTGACCCGCCTGCTGCTGGAGGGGGGCGCCTACATCAACGAGGGCAACGCGCAGGGGGAGACGCCGCTCATCGCCGCCTGCGTGGCGCCCTACGGGGACCCGCACAGCCGGCCGCGCATGGTCAAGTACCTGCTGGAGAACGGGGCCGACCCCAACATCCCCGACAAGACGGGCAAGTCCGCGCTGATGCGCGCCTGCGCCGACGGGGCCGGGGCCGAGGTGGCCGCCGTGCTGCTGGCCCACGGCGCGGACCCCAGCGCGCGGGACTACGCGGGCGCCTCGGCGCTGGTGCACGCCCTCAACCGGGGCGACCGGGAGACGCTGCAGCTGCTGCTGGACGCCTGCACGGCGCGCGGCAAGGAGGTCATCATCATCGCCACGGACACGTCGCCCTCGGGCACCAAGAAGACGCGCCAGTACCTGAACGCGCTGCCCTCGCCGGGCGCCGAGGAGCGGCGCGCGCCCGCCTCCTGCATGTCCCCGTCGGACATCGAGGTCAGGGCCGCCCCGTCGCCGGGCGGCAGCGAGAAGGACGAGGAGCGCGACGTCTTCACCTTCTCCGTGGCGCCGCGGCCCGGCGGCCCGCCGCTCCCGCGCGCCCAGGCGCAGGAGGCCGAGGAGGCGCCGCCGGCGCCGGCGCCGCCGCCCAAGGGCCGCCCCAAGCAGCTGAAGCGGCTCAACTCCGAGCCCTGGGGGCTGGCGGCGCCCTCCGCCTCCGCCTCGGCCGCGGCCCACGCGGAGAAGGCCCGGGGCCCGGAGGACCGGCTGCTGGCCGAGATGAACGGCCTGAGCCTCTGCAAGAGGCCGCCGCTGTCCCGCAGGCACAGCGTGGAAGGGCAGGAGCCCTCCTGCCTCACGGCGGCCGCCTCGCCGGCCTCGGGGGAGGAGGGCAGCCGGCCGGACGCCGCCTGGGCGGAGCGCGTCCAGTTCGGCCACCTGCACCAGGCCCTCCCGCGGCGCAGCACGGCCCCCGAGGCCCCGGAGGGCGGCCCGGGCCCCGGCCCCCGGGGCCCCGCGCCCCACAGGCTGAACTGCGCGGAGCACCACGAGGGCGACTCCCTGGCTCCCGACTCCACGCCGGGCTCGCCCGACTCGGGCCGCGTCTCCTTGGAGAGGAGGCGGTACGGCGCCTCCCCGCTGACCCTGCCGGCCAGCTCCTCCCGGGAGAGCCTGGAAAGCGTGCCCAGCGCGGTCTCGCCCGTCGCGCTGCGCCGCAGGGCCCCGGGCCTCCTCGAGCGGAGGGGCTCCTGCACGCTGCTGCTGGACCACCTCGCGCACAGCCGCCCGGGCTTCCTGCCCCCGCTGCACTTCAGCCCCCACCCGCCGCTCCGCGACCTCCGCGCCAACGGCAAGCCGCCCCCGGGGGACCTGCCCGCCCGGGGCCTGGTCCCCGTGGCCCCCGCCTCGCCCAAGGGGAAGCGGCTGCTGCGCAGGCACTCCATGCAGCCCGAGCAGATGAAGCAGCTGGCCAGCTTCCAGAGCCTGCTCGCCCAGGGGGACTCCGCCGCAGGCTAAAGCGGGAGCCCGGCCGCGAGGCCTCCGCGCCCGCCGCGTCTCCGTAGCTGGGTCCCCACGTCTTCCTCCCCTCCCTCCCTCCTCGGTGTTCCACGTCGTAGCCGCCATTTCCATCATCCTAGCTGAACTGGGCTTCCGAAGCGGAGCTGGCGCCCGTGCGGATCTCTCGGAGCGGCCCCTGGCGGGACGAGGCTGGAGCACGGGCGCCAGGCCCCGGCTGCATCTTGTGAGCGGAAAAGCTGGCCGGGGTGGTGGCCTTTTTCGCGTACCCGCCGAGCCCCGGCCAGGCCCGCGGGAGGCTACTGAGGAAAGAGAAAACGCGTCTGTCGCGCGGGCCTCGCGGGGAAGATGCCTGCACGACTGAACCTGCCTTAAAGTCACGCCCGAGGTGCGAATGTGAGTCTGGACCCAGGGCATCTTCTTCCAGGCCCGGCCACCCGCCGCTGGGGACCCCACGCCCTGGCAGAGGCTGCCGTCTCTCTGCTCCTCTTCCACTGTCTCCACCCCACTGATTCTGTCCCTTCTGCTGGGGCCCGCTTGGCAGTACTTGAGGGGAGAGGCACATGGAACCTGGACTTCCAGGCCCTGCGCCCAATTTCAGGGCGTGGGGGATATGAATGTATGCATCCTGGCGGTGTTTAGAACCGGGCCAAAATTCTCTCTTTGCACTCCTGGGGGGAGGGACTCGGTGCGTAAGGCTGTAGGCCGTCTTTGGAAAGATCGGGCCCACTTTGGTGATCGACTCTGGTGTCGCGTCAGACCCTCTGGGGCTGCAGGATGATTTCCCACCAGGTCCAAGTTTGTCTAAACCGGGAGGAGGCGCATTTGGGGGCCCGGGAGGACGCATGGAAGCTTGGGAGGCGGTCCTGGCTGAAATGATCAGGCGGCTGCCCGGGCTGGTTACCTGCCCAGAAAGGTTCGTGGGCGTTCAGGCGGCGACAGCACGGGCTCCTGCTTTCCTTTGAAATGCTCCTGGCTGCCAGTAAGAACACACAAAGGCATTTTAACAATAGACACTGGGAGATGGGTTTTGTGGGCACTGGGAAGAGTATCCGGGGGCCCATGGACACTGTGGTCCCTGGCCTAGACGGTCCCCGAGCCCCCTGGTTCTGTGGAGAGCCGAAGGCGTTGCTCCCAAATGCTTGATCTCTGGGACCCCACGGACCTTTCCTGGCTTATGGTCACAAGGAGACCATGAAGCATTTTCTCAGTCCGCTCCCACAATTCCGGGCACGCTGTCTCCTCTCTCTCCCTCGCTTTACCCTGTCAATCAGGGCTCAGGGATGGCACAAGGATTTCTGGGCAACGGGGGGCTTCTGGGGTCCCTCCACCCGTGCCGGCTGGAACCAGGCCTGTGCCAGGGGTCGGGAACTTCCTCTCAGACAACAGACAATTCTTTGGCAAAAAGCACTTTATTTCCACCACCCAGCCAGCAAACTGGTTTCCTGCAAAGGAAGACTCTCCCGCTCCATCTCCCCTCCTTCAGCTGGCTGTGCCCCACTTCCTGCGAAAGGGGGTGCCTTGCACTGACCCACGTCTGTAAGTCACTTGGATGCTGAGCTGCCAGAGCACAGGCAGCGAATGTCCTTCCCGTTCCTTCTTGCAGTTCGGAGTCCGTGCTGAGCTGTAGGCCAGCGCTTGAAACCCTCCCCTCATCCAAGCACTCGGGGGTGCTGGAAAGCCCCTGCCTACCAGGGGGTTGCGGGGAGGTGGCCTCTGCAGGGCTCTCGGAAGCCTTGAGGACGAGGGACCAACCAGCGCATCCCCTCAGCCCTCTTGTGGCAGCGTGTCCTTGCCGAAGGCTCCCAGGTTCGTGCAAGTGGCCCTGAGGCACACTTCATGGACCCCTGGTGATGTTTCACTGCCCCATAATTTTTCTCCCCCCAAAGGCCATTTCAGGTCAATAGCTGCAAGTGACCTCCCTCCCTCCCGGCTCACGATTTGGCGGTCTCCCCTGTTTTCTTGCGCACTTTGCAAGGGCACCTGCCAGCCAGACGAACCTTTTCCTTCCTCGCAGATGCTGCAGTCTTTGTCAATAGGTGACGACGTGCTGCTCGCTTGTGAATTTTGCCGGGTGGCCAGTTCAGGAGGAAGCTGTGCCAAACTGGGTTGCCTGCAAATCCTGTTTACAGAACCCTCTTCCGGCTTGGTACCCAGGATGGAGCATCTTTGGCCGAGGTGCTTGAGCGGAAGACCCGAAACGGAGCTGAAATGTTTGGGAACACTCGATGGCTTCGGCATGGTGGGGCAGGTGGCCGGGGGAGCTGCCGATTTAGCCTCTCTAGCTATGGGAAGATGGTGCCCGTTCACACACGAATCCCCACAGACTTCTCTTCCAGGCTGGTGCTCCAGACCACGTAGTGCCCTGGCGGACCCTCCAGGCGGCCCGTGAAGGTCGTTTCCCTCGCATTCCAGCCCCTCTCTTTGCACTCATCTTCCTCTTCCAGTCGTGGTACAAGCACAACGCTGCCCACTGTGGCCAAACGCACAACTTGTCAGGAGGTGAACGCCGACCTGTCGAAGCTTTTCTGTGCTCAAGTCCTGTACAGACCAATAGAAGTAGATAGATATAAAATTATATATACACAGTACTGAGCAAAAGCCCTCGTGTATTGGTGTGCGTTTGTGTGTAGCCAGGAGCTGTCCTCCTCGTGCCCTCCGAGCAGCTCAGAGTTTCCCTGTTGCTTCTTGTACCTTGGCTGGGGGGGAGGGCAGGGAGTCCGCGGGGGTGCGTCTGTTTTCAAAGTTATACAGGGTTTGCCTCCATTCCAGAAGGCCTCTCCGAGCCTCAGTTTCCTCCATATCCCACCCAGGTGTGTAAATAACTTCGATACCAAAGAAGCCAACTCGCGCAAGCTCTTCTTCACTTTAAAAAGAACAAAGAATTTTGTGGTACCCTAAGGGCAAACACATTTATTTCGGCGTCACTTCCACTGACGCAGACCTGCTTTTCACTGCCACAAACAGCCTTTTTCTGCGGCAATAGCCAGGTTTGGCTCTGCTCTGGAAATTCTTCATTTTACATATTCAAGCAAACAAAGGACGGCAGGGGAGGGGGAAAGAGGCCTCCAGGCATCACGGACTGCCCACCCCCGAGTCTGCCGTGTGGACCAGTCCAAAGAGGCAGCCCGGCATGCTCTACATGCCCGGTAGGTTTGCTCAGGCACGAGTCCCCCTGCTTCCGGGGGGGCTTGCTCCAGGGTCCTTGGCTACGGTGCTTGTGCCCTCAGTGAGGTCGGCTCATGCCGGGTGCAAAGCAGTTTGCAGCTGCACCAGCTGCTTCTGAGACGGAGGCATGGCATCACTGCCCCTCTTGAAAATAAAAGCTGCCAGCAGATGTTCATACCTGCCGTGGGTCGAGCTGCAACACGGAGGTTGCCCCAAAGGCAGGGGGAGAGAAATGGTGTGAAAGAAATCATCAGCGTCTTAGGAAGCACTTCACGTTTTGTAAGTGTGGTACAAAGATTAAAAGATAAGACAGTCCTTGCCTGCAGGCTCACAATCTAAAAGAAAAATGAAAAACCATGATACATAAGGAAAAAGGGATGAGGAGGGAAGAGGAAAACAAATCCAAGTGTCAGAGCTTGACGTTTCATGAGCCAAGTAGCTGTCATTTCCTTGGGATGGGTGGCCCTCCCTGCCTTACAGTCCCTCTTATGGCAAAGCTGGAGATCAATTTAGGTGGCCCTTTAGATGGGGGTCAGATTGGGAACTGCTCCCTGGCTGGTGGTGATATATTCTCTCCACAGGCACACCCAGACCAGATGGCGAGATCCAGGTTTAATCCCCTGTACGGTCAAAATCTGACAGTCTTCCAGAGCACACGGGATTTGCGGATGAACTGGCCAAGGAGGGAGGGGAGGGGAGGGGAGACAGAGGGATCGTAAAGCATCTGTGGCATATGGGCTGCATGAGAACCAGCTAGCAGGGCCTGCTTTGGCACATGGGATTTCGAGTACTGTAAAAATGTCAGGGTGGGATGTCGCACAAGCAACAAGGCTGGAAGAGGGAGAGAAGGCGTCGCGTTCTGGATTGGCAAGCGTGCCCCGTTCCGTCTTCCTTGCTCCTGGCCCCTTCGCCGAGGGTTCCCCAGGTGGGGTCCTCTTTGCTCCTTCTCGCGTCCGCTCTGGTGCCCTGGGAGCCTCCCCCCTGCCCTTGCCCCCGGGCAGCGCGCACCGTCGCCAGTGGCCCTGGCTTCCTCCAGCCCAGCCCCGTGTCCCGCCGCAAGCACGAGGCTCCTCGGAAGCGTTGGTGGGGGCGCTCCGGGCAGGCCAAGGGCCGAGCGGGTCTCCCACCGCCCCTCCGATTAAGCCTCTGAGGAGCAGGTGTGGCACACGGGCCATTCCCAGCCCGTGTCTCCAGGTGGCTTGTGCGGGATCCCAGCGCTTCCCCTCCCGCTGTCCACACCCCTGAGTCTGAAAGTGTTGTGCAGGAGCTTGGCCTCGGGGCTAGTCCTCTGCACGGCAGGACGTGTCAGGAGAGCCCGGGAACAGGCGGCGGCCTTTGGGCTCATCAGCAGAGCCGAGCTGAGGTTTGCCAAATGCCATTTTCACACCGCTGTGCACGCTTTGCCTCTGAGCATATGCAGAGTGCCTATGACAGCAAGGATCTTTTTAGAACAGTGGCAAAGTGTCTGTGAGCAAGAGCAAGGGGTGCAAGCGGCAGGTGCTATTTTAACTGAGACTTGAAGGCCCATTTAGACGTAGCCACTGAATTCAGTGGGATGAGGGGCGGACATAAGCCCCGTTGATTCCAAGAAGTCAACGCTGTGCAGCAACATCCGGCGCCAGCTGAGTGGTTCTGCAGGGAGACGTCCCGGGCCTCTCTGATAGGGGGCAGCTTTTGAGAGAAACTCTTCAAGCCCAAAGTAACTCTGGTGCTATTTTGAAAATACACAAACTAGCCCCACATTTCTAAATGGAAAGGGGAAAACATCTGAACGCCCAGCATGCAATTTCCACGCCCGGCAACAGGCCAGGGGGACGAAGGCTGGCAATGAA